TAATTACGTTATACATACATATGTATGTACATATGTATATGCGTCGTAGTTATTTAATAGGATTCGGGAAAGTGCAATTTACATCTACGCAATGTCCAGACACATACAAATGAATTGGGCGGAAATAAAAAAGTTTCAAACAAATTATAAATAACAACTTTAAGTAAAATAAAACGCAGATATCTGTGGAAATTACATATTATACGCAAGTAATAATAGAATATTAATATATAAGGCATTCAAAAATACATACATATATGTTCCTATAAAGTGATCACTTTAAAAAGTGTACATATGTATTTACGTATAATAATAAATTGGTCTAAAATAATATTTCTATTATAAGAGGATATAATATTTTTTCTCAAAAAATTACTGATGTGCTACATAGTACATACATATACATATGTAATTTTTATAAATTTAGTTCTCAAATTTTTTAAACAGACCTGGCTTTGATCGAGACGACTTTCCCGCCAACTGGCATATTTTCCTTAACATAAATCGGCCCATACACCGTATTGTCCCATACGGGCGGGTTATTGGCGCGATCGACCACATCGATTTGCACCTCGACGGTACGCGACAGCGGCGGATAGCCTTTGTCCTGCGCCATTGCTTCTAATTTATATGTTTCGCGCTGTATGATGCACACATACATACACATTATGGTTATAGATATGCATATAAATTCGTTTAGGAGCATTTTAGATGCGCCGTTTCAAATCGTTCAATCAAAAATATTTAGCATTCATTATCGGTATTTGGTTTTGTTTTTTGATTAATGAAGCGTCGCAAAAATGTTGTTTCGGTTTGTAACGATTTGTTTATGTGAAATTATAAAAAAGAAGGCAAAAAACAAAAATTATATATATTTTTGCATATACGTAGTTTTGAACTTTGATAATTTGCTGAGTTATAATTAGTTGGTAAATGCTTAAAAATGTAAACCATTAACCAAAATGAATCAAAAGCACCAACGACTAAACGAAAAAAGAGTTACCCAAAATTGTTGTTAATTGATTCAAATAAAAAAGCTTAGACAACGTTGACTTTTCGTTGAGATGCACTTTCTTTTACACACATATATACATAGATAAATACATATATATATATGTGTATATATATATATACTATGTATATATATATACTATTTATATATATATATATACTATGTATACATATACTATGTATATATATATACTATGTATTATGCGTGTATCTTTCTCATTTAAAACTAATGCTAAATATCAAAAATCAATTAATTAAAAATAAAATTTAGGTACCAAAAAGTTGCCTTTTAAAATGAAAATACGCAAAAAATCACATACATTGTGAACAGCAAAAAAATTATTTCGATTAATATTTTTCTTCTCTTTTAGGCAGTGCAAATAATTTTCTTAGTTTATTTATAGCAAACAAGTTACGTAGTTTTTGTCTCGATCCTAGCCCTTAAAGTTGAGTATTATAAAATCATAGATATACATTTGTTTTATTATAAGATAGAATGAAAAATTAAAATAAACGGCATAATAGCGATAAATTTGTTTTAAAATATTTTAATATGCAAGTCAAATTTCTTGTTTAACTTTTTGACAACTCTAAGCGACTCAACCAAAAAGTTGGTCTCGTAACCACGAATATCAATCAAAAACAAATCTTCTATGCAATGTTTCAATTTTCGATTAAAATAGTTGGTCCGATAAGATGATCTTATGCCACGCTTAACTCACTACAGCCATTTATATGGAATAGGCATTAAAAACTATTAAAATCAAAGGAGCCGAAATTTTTACATTTTTTCTTAGCGTTCGTATAAAAAAAAAGCACGTGGCAAAGGAAAAGCTATAAATCCAACCGAAATAAAAAATGATGTCAAGCTTTATTATTTTCCACTTTATGCTCTACCCAGAATTGCATCGGGCGACGGTAAAGTGGTCGGTGGTTAACCGCTGTCAAAATTAAAACTCACAAATGCATATGGAATGGCTCATATTTGCGGCGGCAACGTTTTTACCGCCGACGTTTTCCCGTTAATTTAAATTTATTTCTATTTTTATTGCCCACAGGGGACGGCACAATATTTATTGGGTGTTGATTGTAGTAATTTTTATTATTTTCACAAGTTTGGCAATGTTTTCATCCTTTAATATTTTCAGCTAATCTGCATTTCTACACGCATGTACCGAAAAAATATTTAATTTTAATGATAATTTTCAAATGAAAATTACAACTAACGGAAGTCGTCGTGCGCCGCAATTGTAGCTCTGATCCAGTACTGCATAAACGCACAGGTTTTTACATGAACTTGCAGGAAGTTACAGGATATTTAATCCTGTACTCCAAAATCCTGCAAATGAGAACGATTTTTGGAGAGTTGTGAAGAGAACGACATGATTTCTTTGAACGCGGCGGTGACATCATGAACTTTGTATGATTTTGACATAAAAAAAGAGGAAGAACCTTATCTGTCGGTGGAAAAATAGAAATAGATCTAATCTGGCCACAACCACCGTTGTCGCGTAGCCCTGTCGTCGGCAAAATAATTATCTACATAAGAGTACGTGTTAAAATAATTCAACGGCTGTGGTCCGTAGCTCGTCGTTTTCATTGTGTTCGGGCTATCACTTTTTACTCTCAATTCAGAGAGTAATTTTACTGTTTGACATTTTTACAGGATTTTACACGAAAAGTATTGGATCAGAGCTTGTGTTTACTCTCACCGTCGTCCGATGTAATTCTGGGTTGAGCTTTAAATTACCGACTTCAAAAAAAAGAAAGAGGAGGTTATCATTTCGTCGGAATATTTTGTTTTTATGTAACATACATGAAACCGGGTAACTTTAGAATACAGAAACCGTTTACGATCATTATTTTTTATAGTAAAGGTGACACTCTAAGTTCCGAGCAATGGATCATGAAGAAGCTAGCGGTACTTTTAAATTTATATAAGAGCGTTGAAGTCGGTTGTGGTTTTCTTTTTTAGAAATTACTTTTTTTTAATACAAATTAGTTGTATTTTATGACCTCGACAAACTTTATGAGTGTCTTGAAATACAAGCCAAATACTACAAGGTATGTAGTTATTATTCTAATAACAATACCATCTCAATATTTTCTGGTATTAAATGAAACAAAGCTCACATTTTTCGAAACGAAAGCAAAATGATTTCCAACATTGTTATTTTGTTTCAAAAACTGGAAACAAAGTACATAAAATTTAGTTCTTCATAAACAAATGTTTGAATATGCAGAAAATTTTAGATATTTATATGAGCACATCCAAACGCTGACATTCGAAATCTTGTGCGTCTTTTTATGAAATGAGTGCAGTACATATGAAGGTATTTTAACCTGATGGTGCCGATATGTCTTATAGCCCATTTCCCCCGGGAGATTAACTGCAGTTATGAGCTCAGGTAGGTGCAAATAACGTTAACTTGGGGTGATTAGCAAAGTTTATTTCTTACTTTTTGCTTTCAATTGCTTGACCTTAATATGGGCAACTACCCCTTTCGAGTTGTAATCTCCTTTTTTCAGTAGGCATAAACTGCGGTTAAGGCTTGGTGGAAATGAACTATTAAACTAATAAAAATAATAGGAATGAAATCTAGTAAACAAAATACAATAATAACTTTACGATGGTATTGTTACAGGTATAATATACTTCAACTTTTGATTTTTTACGTGTCTTGCATCTCCATTGACAAGCGTTTACGTAAAACATAAAAACCAATGACACCAAACACAAAATAAAAATATATGTATATTTTCTTTGAATAGATTATTGTCTTCAATTTAAATAAGCGTGTGCAGTTATAGGTAAAATATTGCATATGTATGTAAATATTTACTTAAAGTTTATTCGGTTTTAGCATTTAATTTATAACATTTAAAATGCATGTAGAGCTTATACAAATCAAAGCATTCAATGCAAATGTTTTTTAACATTTTTTCAAGTTAGCACAAGAGAGAAATCAATTACCTGATGCCTGGTTAGTACAGTCAAATGTAACATATTATGTGAATACATACATATGTACTTCCTCAGTAAAATCTAAACATTCATATATTTCTTGTTTATATATTTAGTCCCGACTAATAGCGCTAAACTCCACCTATGTAAGTATGTAAGCAACCTTTGTTATGAGGGCTTTATCTCAGCGAACTGATACTTTTCGAAGAAAAATAAAACAATTGCTTAGATGTATGTAATATTTTTGTAGACAGCTAGGCTATTTTTTGTGTACAATGTAAATTTTTGTGTAAGCAGAATTGATAAGGTGACCGCACCATATCTAGGCGATGGCTACGGGGCGGAAAATATTTTCGCTTGTTTTTAATTTTTTATTGTGTTAAAGGAAATGAAGGAATCACGTATCTAAGGCGGTAAGTTTTCTTTGGAGTCAGGAATCAACGTTGATAGCAAGGAGAGTTAATTTGCAACGGTAATTTTCTCTTTTTGTTTCTTTTTTTTAGTTTTGTGTAGGCTGCTTCAAAATTCAAAACTTATTGTGAACGTACTGCGATGTTGGTGAAACCTGGTAGCAAGGACACCGATGCCAGAATGAAAAAGACATTACACCACATTTACCACCAAATCAGCATTGCAGTTGTAAATTGGTGTGTTGGCTTCATATTCAACATACGGCCTGGCTCCAGCAAAAATGTCCCTGCTTTGGGACTTCTCCACAAAAATACCTCTACGTTCACACAAAAGCTGCCATTAGTAGCTTGCAAATATCGGTTAACATTGTATTAGAAAATTTTACATTATGTTAAAGTTAGGACTACCAAAAAGTTAGTATCTATGAAATGGAGATTTATCTTTTATATTTGTATGTATGCATATTATAAGTATGAAAGAAAGTTCAACAAGCTTTAGTTACAAAGTGGTTATGTTTAAAATACAGGTAAGAATTACAAGAGACATATACATACATCTGTATGCATGTAGCTTGTCGATGCTTGTGAACAACAGAGCAGGAGTAGATACAAACCTTGCCTTCACCGATGTTACAACCGTACCCACAGTGACATTTTCGCGTATATGTATTGGCCCATAAATGCTCTTATCCCATATTGGCGGCTTGTTATTGCGGTCAACTACGTCTAACTCAACATCGACATCGGCATAGGATGGTGGCTCACCACGATCCGAGGCGCGCACCCGCAAACGATAGCGGTCGCGCTGTTTTAGTGTGTGAGTGTTTTTTTTTATTTGTTGTTTTACAGATTTTACCATTTACGATATGTAAGCGTTACGTAACAGTATCATGTTAAAAAGTTGTAGGTGCGTAAAAAGAAAAAATTTTTATTATGATTACATTAGCGAAAATGTTAAAATTGTTTAACAGTTTAAAGTAATTATTTCGAGGGTTGCTTTAGTTAGCGGTTAACATTTTAATTTCAGATCCGAATGCTTTTAATAAGGTTAACAGAGTGTTATCAAAATTTCGATGCGGCATAGCATATTGAATATCATTAACAGATAATTTGCAAGCTTTCTTTAAAAAGTTCTCGTTAGATAGGTTTGTGTCTTCGCTAGTTTAATGTTTTGTTAAATTAATGTTACCGCTCTGCTGCAATATACCTTATATACGGCACGGATGGTACTGCTTAATAAAAATTTTGGGTATACTAAAGGCTGGTGGATATTATAATCGTGTTAATATGTATGTGTTTCAAACAGTCCATAATAGTAGTAGTCAATAGGTTAACATTTTTACGGCAATAAAAATAGTTAGCAATAAAAATGTATAAAATAAAAACAAAAACAAAAAAATATCGTAAACTCAGAAATTCATAACACAAACATAGCATTATACATATAACGTTAAATATACATACATAAATAACAGTTAAATGAATAACTATTAATAAGATATTAAGAGTTACATAATGCGAAGTTAGGTTTTATTTTATCCAATACGCTGAAATTGAAGTTTTTGTACAATCATGTAAGATTTTAACAGTTTGTTATAGTAGGGAAAATTATGAAACGTATTAAAAGTCGATAATTCGGGCCATGTTAAGTAATATTTCAACTTAGAGCAAAGTGCTGATGCGTTTGCTTCTAAACTAACTTATCAATAAATATTTTGAAAGGCAGTACAAGAAGTTAAATGGAATTACAATGGACTAAACCAGACATTCTTGGATACGAAGGCCCAATTTCAGACGAGCTATTCGAGTACAGATTGTTGATTAACTGCAAAAAGTCATTTTTATACCCGAGCGCACTTGTGCACAAGGGTCTTTGCGCATTTTCATTTGACCACTCATTACTTCTTTATTTATCCAATTATTTTCTTCATTAGTAACTTGATTTTTTTGTAAGAGAACAGGCTTTAGCACAAGTGAAAAAATTTCACACGGAGCCTGTTATTTTTTAAATTTTCCTCCTGCTAAATTTTTTTTTATTTTTTTATCAAAAAAAAAAATGGAATGATTAATTAATTTTTCAGAAACTATCAGTCCTATCGCTTAGCTTTCATTCGTAGTATTTCATTTTCAGATTGTTAAAATTTTTCGTAAGATATACGTGACGAAGTGGAATCACCTTTTGTTTTAAGCTGAATAACTGTAAATTCAAAATATCTCGAAAACATATCCATAGAATAAAAAATTAGCTCGATTTTCGGAATCAGCGGGCGATTCTACATGGCCAATGGATAGGGGCATCCGTGGAACAAAAACCAAACGCAAATTTGTGATCCAGTTAATCTTTAATATTCAGAAAAAAAGTGATTAAAAATGATTTTCTGTTATTAATAGAGCGTCTTTTTGTAAGAGAATGTTGCTTGATAGTGTTTTGAGATACGTGGTTTCGCCAAAGTACCGTCTATATATAAACTAGCTGCGAGAAAGTGCGGGTTTTCATGTAAAAAGGTTTTAAATTAAAAAATCTTACAATTTTAGACAAAAAAATGGTTAACTTTGATTAAACAATTAAAAAGGAATCTGTGCGAGTAATTCGAGTAATTGCGCATTTGACCAAAACGGTGATTTAATGAAAATTACTGATATCTTCCGATGCTCTAATAGCATCACTTCAACACAATGTAAAAAAAAAAACGGTAAAGGAAGTTGCGGCAGACCTTGAAGATCTTTTGGTATAAATATTTTTAAATCACTTTTTATTGTTTTGCAAAGTCAAATTTAAAAATTAATATTTTTTATTGTCACTTGTAGTTGAAAAAATTTCAAGGTGGGCAAAAAAATATGGAAAGATGTAAAAATTTTGATCAACTTTAATATGAGTAAATATGATTTCTAACCAATTTGTAGCTGATTTTACATGGTAAAATTTAAAACGTAATTAAAAATTGTAATCTGATCAACAATTTTCATTAATTTAACGATAGTCACATGAAACCTTGCAATGCAAAAAAATTACATTTTCGAAGATCTTGAAGTTTGGATAAAAATTGTATCATGTTAAATTATTTTTCGGGTCAGTTTACAGTCTATTTTTTTTATTTATTTTTTACTGCTATAGATAAATCCATAAGTCTCTTCCCATAAAATAATAAGTTTTTTTGATCTAAGAGATTTGGCAACATATATATGTACATATAATTTGTTATATTTTTTATATTTGGGGTAACTTTTGAAGGAAAAATTTTTGTTATCGCTATCAATAGACAGTTTTCTACTTCTGCACAAAAAAACGAGAAGAAAAATTTAAACCTGTTAAAAGTTATAGATTATTGATCACTCAAACCGAAAAAAAACACTGTGCGCCGTTAAATTTCGGTTTGTCCGATTGTACTTCATTTCTGAATTTTAAAACAGTTCCCTACAACTTCTTTCCATTTAACATCTCCATTAATGACATGGTCTTTAAACTGTAGCAAAACTTTTAAGCAAATATGCATGCCAATGTCTACATCGAAATATCACTTAAGGACACGTACATATGTACGTTCACTACAAATATCGACTTTTGCTACAACCGGTTCTAGTTAGGTTTGATGATTGATGAATCTCTAATTGTTAGGCCATAGTTACCGGAATCGTGCGTTACTATGAGGCGGAAACTACATCAGTACAAATACAGCAAGCATAAGTACATTAAAAATTTGGTGACTTAAGGGAAACGCACAGTGGCGTAAGAGAGTGCGATTGCCGGGTCTTCGTACTTACTGGATAGCAACCCTGCTTTGAGATGCAGTATAACGTAACGCACATACATACATATGTATTGTTGTTGAAGGTTCAAGTTTCGTTCAAATATGAAAGAATATATTGAAACATATTTTATTTATACATTATTTTTCTTAATACGGCGAACAAAACAGAAATGAAAAAAATTAAAGAAAATTAGAATCAAAACAAAACAGAAAAAGGTGCAGTTAACTTAACTAAAACCGGAACAAACAGAAAAACGCTGCTTTAAAATGCACAGGATGGCATTTTGATTTTTATTTATGTTTTTATATATGCTTATATTTTATTCAAACATATTTAGGGGCTCTGTATTTGTTTTCTTCTTCGTCGCCGGTTTTTTCATGCATGCATTCGTGTCCCGCAAAAATGTTAATCATTTAGCAAAATAACAGTTGCAGCTGACCATCAAAAATTTCGTTTAATCGAGCTAGCTCATTCTTTTCTGGATAAGGAAAATTTTCGTATTGGTAACAATTGGCAAAAATATGTTTTTTGACCTAGTAGGTACTTTTTAAAAAATAAAGTTTTCACTTAGATACGTAGGTAAAAAATACATATATTAGTCAATAAATCAAATAAACAACATAAAGTTTACATCAAAAACAAAAGCAAATGTGTTTATTAATTGCTATTAATTCTATTTTCAAATATCGATACCTAAACATGATAAGGTGCCATGTCCTTCTTTGAAATTGTTCAGGGGGACGAAAAATTGATGTAGTTTCGCATTATCTGACATTCTGCATCAAATACTAAATTTTGAAAAGGGGGTTGGCACCTTTTCACCTTTAAGTAGCGATATGTATGTTTGTTTTCAAAAGGCTTGAAACGATACCCAAAAATTGATTGATCAGTAGCAAGCCATATTTGAAAACAGTTTCCGCCGTTAAGTCGATTGTGGTTATTTGTTTTTATTTTTACTATTTAGCTTGTTGTGTATTGCTGCAGTTTTGAAAATGTCACTTCAATGTTAGTCCTAATAAAATTATGTTTTTATCTCAACATTTTACATATTGGACAATACTTCTAAGCTACTTTAGTTAGTAACTAATCCTTTCTTAAAATTAGCCCGGCCTATGTTTTTACAATAAACCTACGATGTACTACAAATTAAATACTGCATTAGTCAAAAAACACCAGGTTGACAGCCTTCGAGCTGATTTTTTTTCAATAAATGTATTCTTGAATGCTTCATTTGAGCATATGCTTATACATACATATGTATATTCAAAAATGTTAAAAATCAATTTTTCATAGTATTTACATATACATACATATTTTGATTCTTTGTATTTACAATTCCGCCACCAAATTTGTGCGCATATGTATGTGGAAAACTATGCAATGCAACTGTAATATGGGAAATAACTTTTTTCGAGGTTTTTGAAAATAAGGACTCTATAAACTAAACAAAAATTTTAAACGAGTTTACGTATTGCCACGTTTTCCAAAAACTGTTTATCATTTATAATTTTGGTGTACACATTTTTCGCCAAAGCTTAGTTGATAAGTTATTTTCGACACTTTAAATTTTCTTCAAAATAATTTGCACTGCATGTGTATTTATTCGAATGCATTTTCAATTTGCTTTTATTTTACGTTCAAAAGTGTTCGTACTACGAGAGTCAAAGTAAAATAAAAGGTTTAAAACAACAAAAACCACGAAGTTCCATATTTTTATCGAAAAACTAAATACTCTACATTGAATTGAACGAAAGATGGTGCATTTTAAGGAAACGAAATTTAACTAAAACTTTGAAACTCAAATAATTAAACCAATTGACTAATTTCGTTCGGAAATCACAATACGTTTCAAAAATAAAAACATTAAAAGTTTTTTTCAAACACGAATGTAGAAAAGATTTTTGATTTAATTCTCCCTTTAACTGACTCTTTCCATATTTCTTTTGACGTCATTTAACGAAACGACAAATTGAGGTAGCATTAAGATATTCTTTTGTTTTTTAGTCAATCGCACTAGTGTGCGTAATGGTTAGTAAACACAAAAAGGAGTTCAAATTAAAATATATAAATTAAGTCAAAAACTCACATAAACCATAACTATGTATGTGTTCTTTTGTTAGTCTAAGCAAATTAAAAATTTTTTGAGCAGTTTAACAAAATGCTAAATAACAGCAAAATATTTCAAGTTGTAAACTTAAAAATTGGTTAACGAGGCACTTACGTCAAGCGGCTTCTTTAACACTATCCAACCCGACTCAGCCTGTATATCGAAATACTCCAAATCGTTGGGATTGAAGGGGGCGCTCAAGCTGTACACAATGGCTCCGTTATTGTCGGCATCCTCATCGGAGGCGGAGACGCGCAGTATGTTTGTGCCGATGCTGGCGTCTTGCTTCACATTTTCGACATATTTCTGTTACAGAAAAATTAATTTTACAAATTTGCAAATAAATAACTTTCACTCTATTCTCACTTGTCGATCAAAGAGTGGTGGATTGTCGTTGACATCTGTAATTTCTACTGTAAAAGAACACACGCCTTCCAAGCTAGGTTCACCTTGGTCAGTCGCTTTAACGGTGACCGAAACGAATTTACCATCGTCACCTTCGCGATCGAACACTTTGTTGGTGGACACCTCGCCGGTCTCTTCGTCAACGGTGAATTTGGTGCCTTTCTGATTTGGCTGTTGAACGATTGAGTATTTGACCTGCAAGAAGAAGACGAAGTAAACATTACTAGAGTTCATTATTTGATGCGAAAATGCGAAGCAAAAAAAATTAGCGCTTTGTTTTGTACAAAAACCGTGAACGTTATTAAATAATTTTGTCAGGGCAAAATGCTAAATGTCAAATGGCAACAGCAGTTTGCGAAAATTAAATGAAAATATATCATGCCGCAATACGGTGAAACAAGTAAAATTTTATTTATTTTATTTTCTTCTGTCGCACAGTACAGGTTTACGTCGACAGGCTTTGCGGGGGCGGCATGGTCAGCTTCAAAAAGAATCGGCGGCGGCAGCGACGCCGGCGCGTCTGAAAACGCCGGCGCTTCTGCCCATAAGGTAGATTCCATAGTGCCATGAGGCTACTAATCTTATAACTATAATTCAACTTAATTCATTCTGAAATTGATTTTAAATTTAAATATTGTTACTTCCTACCAGCGTTGCCACAGACAAATTTTTTTTCCTACCAAAATTTCCTACCATAACCAACCAAAACCTATCAAACCTTTTTTTGAGTTTTAATACTTGTTTTCAATGTCAATTTTTTTAAAAACATAGTTAACATAACATTTAGTACAACAAAAACACAACTAGATTAATAAAAACAAATTAACTGCGTATAACGATTCACTTTACTGTACAGACTTATCCATATGTACATATGTCTCTTTACACATACATACATACAGTATTTAATTAATATAATTAACAGTTATCTATCTAATAGAGTTTTGTCCTAAAACACGGAAAGAGGGAAAGTAAGCTATAGAGTCTCCAGAGGAGTTCCCCAAGGTTCCGTCCTTGGCCCACTTTTGTGGATCATAGCCTACGATGGCGTATTGCGTCTACCCATTCCAAAAGGAGTTAAAATAATTGGCTATGCCGATGACATCGCTTTGGTGGTTGTGGCTAAAGACATAAATAGGGTGCAAATGGCCACAACAAATGCTTCCAAAATAGTCATCGGCTGGCTTACAGCGAGGGAGCTGAACTTAGCAATCGAGAAAACAGAAGGTGTACTCATAACAAGTAGGAAGAAAAAAGAGACCGCAACCTTGAATATAAACGGGTATGTCTTTGATACATTACCAGCAGTGAGGTATCTAGGCGTAATGATTGATGCAAGGTTATCTTACAAAGTTCACATTGAAATGGTAAGTACAAAAGCGGCAAAAGTTCAAAGCGCGTTAGCTAGACTGAAGGCAAATGTAGGCGGTCCAGGGCAAAACCGCAGAAAACTGCTAACAGAAGTTACTGAATCAGTTATAATGTACGAGGCCCCCGTCTGGGGTCATGCACTGCAGCAAAAGTCCTATGCTAATCTTGTAAACTCTGTTTTCCGTCTTAGTGCCCTGCGCGTTTGCAGCGCTTTCCGGACAGTTTCGCATGATGCAGCCTGCGTCATAGCTGGTATTATGCCTGCCGATTTGTTGGCTAACGAAATCCGGCGTACCTATATGACGGCCCGAACAAAAGGTAGAGCCCTCTCAAAACCCGAGATCGCGGCCGAACGCCAAATAAGCCTATCACTATGGCAGCAACGCTGGGCCTCGTCTTCCTCTGGGCTCTGGACTTTCCGACTCATTCCGAGCATCGAAGCTAGGCTATACAGATCGCATGGCGAAGTTGATTTTTGTATGACTCAATTGCTTAGTGGCCATGCTAAGGATCAGAGAGCAACGCCGCCGCTTAGAAAGAGGAAAAAGTTGAAGTTACTTGTGTTCAAAATTTCTTCTTTTATCTTATTTTTTGCATTTCTTTGCAGGTAAACCCTGTGAACACCAAAACGCTCCTGAACCCCTAATCACATTAGTGGATGGGGGATTATGGAAAGGGCGGTATGACGTGGGGCATGTTTATGCCACGGCCTCACCCCGATGTAATACGCGAGTGGTTCCGGGGAGGTGGCTTTTGGAGAGTTTCGCAAGGGCCACTTGATGGATAGTTTCCCTATCCCAACGTCCGTTAAAAAAAAAAACATACATACATATCGTCACTAGATACGAATAAAGACGCGAGCTCAAAAGTTATTAGCGAAAGAAGAGGTGTAAAAAAATTTCGGCGAAGAATGACTCTTAACATAGTTGACGGTAAATAAAGCCACGTTAACCTCTTTGACAGCGAAGAAAGACCCATCAACTTATGTCCGCGGGCAACTATATTTTCGAGTGCAACAGTATTCCCCAGAACTCCCCAAAGAGTTTTCCGAGCTCTTTATTCGTGTCTAGTGACGATATTATTATTATTACGTCGAAGATGTCCGCGCTGCGACCTAAGAAGAGATATTGTGCTAAATCAAAATTGTAATCACTCCAACCTTAGGCTATTTAAAAAGCTCACTTTGGATGAGGCCATGTTCCAAATTTAAGATGGAGAAGGCAATCGTTCTCCAAGGTGTAGCAATCTACGATTCATGCTTCCTTGACAGGCACATAGAATATACTCTGGGGTTTCTTTCACCAGCCGACAAACCCTACAGTCTACAGAAAGACCCAGTTAATTAAAACCGTACGTTAACTTGCAGTGTGCTGTCAGGTTGCCAGTAAGAGTTCTAAGTTCAAGGTGTCTTTCGGAGTTCCTGCTGGAAAGATATATACATATCTTTGATTGTCTTATTCCCTTTGACTTCCGCCAGTAGGCAGCAATTTGAGATTATTCCCAGCTAGCTCCTAAGTAGGTCTGCAGTGTATCCTTTAGATGTACCGCAGAAAGGCTAGGGACCATGCAAACCCATTTGCGCTTCACGCTTTGCGAGTCAGTCAGCCCTTTCGTTGCCTTGAAACCCTTCATGTCCATGAACCATCCACAGCGTGACGCTATTGTGGGCTCGCAGGTGATTCAAGAGTTTACAAGCCTTGAAAAGACTCTTAGGCCTTTAACGCTGCCTGAATTTCCGACATAATATTTATTCTGGCCTCATTTGCCTTCTATGATGACATTCGCGCACACAGACTTCGATTGGGAAGACCTCCGCCTGAAATATGGTTGGGTACGAGCCCACCGGCAGACTTTTCTGGAATCTTGGTTCAAGTACGCCATAAATTATATCGCTACCTAAATGTGAAAAGGTGCCAAGTCCATTTTTTGTTTTCAAAGTTTAGTTTTTGATGCAGAATGACAGGTAATACGAAACTACATCGATTTTTCGTCTCTCTTGAAAAATTTCAAAAAATGGACTTGGCACCTTTTCACCCTTAGGTGACGATATATGGATGTCCGTATTGCATATGGCAATAATAAGGTATACGTTTGTACTTAGGAATCAGGTATATTTACATGTTTGTGGCCGCCATTATACGAACGCACCGGTGAAATATTAGTGTAAAAATGGTTGCTAAAATGTTTGGAGATACGTACATATTTTCTATTTTTCGCAAATAACTATTATTCATTGTCCCGAAACCTACCAAAATCCAATCAAGCCTACCAACCTACCAAATGGAAAAAAACCTACCAGTTTTGGTAGGAAAAGCCCATGTTTGGCAACACTGCTTCCTACTTGAATTAAAATGTTGATCGCCTGGCGCTGATGGAGGGGTGAACAGAAGATGGTCTGAGGTATGCATATGTACCTATACATACATACATACATGGTACTCTATGTTCTCTACAGATCCGTATGTACTATTTAAATTTAAAGAAAAAAATAATTTTTTAATTTAAAATATTGCAGTAAGGAGTAATTTATGTCGCTATTAATAAATTTTTGCAATAATATTATCTACCGTTATGTTAAATTACGGAGTTCTTATGATTTTTTGCGGGTTATAGATAGAAAACAAAGGTGGTCACTTTTGCAACAGGTTAACCCATCAACTCCAACCAAAACGGGTCTTTTCATCCGCTTTTTAAAAAATGGCTTATCTAATCACTAATCACTTATCACTAATGAAAAATAATACTAATTTTTACCAAAAAGAGGGAACTTTAACCGTGTGTAGAAAACATTACGAAGCGATGGAGCAAAACCTTTCTGGGTTTAACCACCACTTAAGAATGGTAAAGTCATTTTCACACAGCCACCTAGTACTTGTATCAGGTTAAAATAACTTACGAATGTAAAAATTAGCAATAAAAGGTCTTGCTTTTTCCTAAAAGTCTGTTTAAAAAATAATCAACTCTTTAATTAAGAAAAAAATACACAAGGAAATCAACTTGTTTTTGTTTCATTTCCATGCCCTTATTGCATCTGTTAAAGTTGCTTTTTGAGATATTAGCGCTAAAGTTTTTGATGTGCGATAACTTTCTTGTTGTAGTATAAAAAACAGGAGTATGGTAGTAGAGACAAAAATTTACTGCTGTGGAAAAAAATCGTCAGATTNTTTATCGATCACATGTTATATGCATGATGTCGAAATCGTCGATAATGATGTTTAACCGGCAAGTAGTGATAACCAGACATTGAACAACCGGCCCTAAAACTGGTAACTTCTGACAGAGAGCGAACCGTATTTACTCTCTTTTTTGTCCTCTCAATTGTCAGAGAACCGAGTACGGGATCGATTTCCAGTAAAATCTGACTGATTCTGACTAGTCCGGACTCGTACGGGATCGCAACTTATATTTTCGTTACGCGGCGGCGGCGCCTGAGGAATGACAAAAAGGCGGCGGCGTGGCTCGGCGGCGTAAACCTCTATTGCACAGACATTTTCAATTGTCAGCTGATTATCATAAAATCGGCTCTTTACATTTCAGTCAATGTTTAGCTGTGAGTTTGTGCGAAACTAAATGTGTAAATTTTCGCACTTTCGCTCAGAAGCACACAATTTTGCCTTAAAGAGTGAACTCTTGTAATATGTATGTGTGTCCAACGAAAGTTTTCAAATGTACAACAAATAGTTTTAGTAGGAGATCCGACAAGAGCACGACCTTCACCCATCTGTTTAATGAATGATATCTACTTTGTATAAAATTTAACGTGTTAGGAAATATTTCGCGAGTGGGTTGGCTGAAAAAATCCTGGCCAGGATATTTTTAGTTAA